TGTAGGTCAAGTTTATCAAATTGTATGAGAATACTTTTTTTTTTTTCCTCTTCTTTTTACTTCTGGTTGAGCTCTGATCATCCAGTCACTGAAGCCAGGACAAGTGGGTATTACTGCAAGTGTGGGTGTTCTTATGCATATGCTCTCTCTTCTTATCAGCTGGACACTTCACTGTCCACTCTAGTCCTCTGTGGCTATGTCACTGACTCTGGGCCCAAGAGTCCCCAGGTATTGCCACACTGCTGGCCAACCAGGTCTTCACCCGGATTCACAGAAGTCTATTGAACGTTGTAGGGCTTAGCTCACCATTTCATTGCTGTTTTTCCCTCACTTCCCCTTATCGGTGTCGAGCGTGGTCACCAATCACAGCGTGTATTCCCACAGAGTCTTAGTCTTGGAAGGGGGTTTGCACTGAGGGGACCCGACCACTTGCCTTGATGTTTCCTGGGCAAGCAACTTGCTTGTTCTTGTAGTAGTAGTCGGTCTGCCTATGTTGTTTTATATTTTTCCTGTAGGTCTTTCTTTCAAGAAGCATCTTCTGTTCTTCTAGCTACTCCAGGTTGGTCTGCTTGTAAATGATAGGCTTTAAAAGGAGGTGTATTGAAGCTTTGTAAACCTGTGGGAGGCAAAACTCAATGTTGAGTCCAAACAGATCCTGTTAGAGGAAAGAGACCCCTTTGTTAGTATTCCAGTGTTTTACTGGAGTTTTGTTTCTTAAATGGCCATCGGTGTTTTACCTTAGACAGTCCCAGCTCTGCTCTCTGACGGGGTTTCCTGGTGCCCTTGTTTTGGAAGTGGACATGGCCCCAGGGGCTGGGCACTCAATCCCTGGTCAGGCCCCTGCCCACCTGACCTCATTCCCAGGGCAGCAGCCAAGAGTTCTGGGTCATTAGCTTGCTCCTGGAGAGAGTAGATTGTTTTCGATCTATTTATGAAAAATCAGCCATTGGAAAAAACCGTATATGGGGAGGTGGGGAGAAAGGAGAAGCAAACCTTGGGAAACACAATTCTACTGTGACACACACGGGGTCTTCATCAGTCGATGCCAACTGAGTGACAACAGTTTTTGTTCTTGTTTTTAATTTTCCATAACACATTCCCATGTCTTCTGCAGCCTCGGAAGGTAATGGACACATATGGGGGTGGGGGCAACCTTACTGCCAGAGCACTTTGGTTTTCTCTCTCCTCTCTCCTCTGTCGTCCTGTGACGAGCTAGCTTTTCAGCCTTTCAGCTGAAACACCTACTCCGTGAACATGACCTCTTTCTTCCACCCGTCCATTTAGACCATTTCTGCTGCGGACTGTCTGGACTCCCCACATGCCCTGGAACATTTGCACCTCTTTCTCCTTAAAAACAAAACACGAAGACAAACATCTGGCATCTGGCCTGTGACAGCCCCGATGTTGACATTACCTCCCTTCCAGGGCTCAAGTAGAGAGACACATGTTGCATTCTCACTGCTGGTTCTATTGGAAAGCATCAGGCTATGGACTTAGAAAACAACATCTGAACCTCACTTGGAAATGTTCTTTCCAAACCACTTGGTGGTGGTGGTGATGGGGCCTCTGGGCTGGGCCAAGCTGGGCAGGGCTTGGCTGGTTTATGAAGTTCAGCTGTTGACAAAGCTCTGTCTAGAAGGTTCTTTCTGGTCTTCTCTCTCCTTTGCCGCCTGCCATCTACGTGAGCCGAGCTTTGTCAGCTTTCTGAATTCGTTTCCTGGGACTGCATTATCAAAGGACCACAAGCTAGATGACTTAAAAACAACCCAAATTTTACGGTTCTGGAGGTCCTATGTCCAAAATCAAGATGTCATCAGGGCCGTGCCTTCTGGGAAGATTCTAAGGGAGGCTCTATTCTTGTGTCTTCCAGCCTCTGGTGGTAGCCAGACATCCTTGGCCTCTCTTGGCTCACAGACACATTACTCCAATCTTTGCCACTGTTTCCACGTGGCCTGTGTGTCCTGTCATTGGATTAGGGGCCACGCTACTTTGGTGTGATCTCGTCCTACCTTGATAACTTCTGCAAAGGCTCTCTCCAAATAAATCACATGTCACATGCTCAGGAGGTTAAAACTTTAACATATCTCTTTAGGGACACAAGTCAGCCCATCACTCTTCCCTTCCCACAAGAATGCACTCAGTCTTGGATGGTAGCTGGAGGCTCAGAGTAGAAAGGGCAGAGATTGAGACTGGGCTCCAGGAAGAGGGAGCAGGACATTTAAAATCCCTGGATAGATGAAGTGAGCGTAAGCATTTGGAAATATGGTGCCAGAAGACCTTCTCAACACAACAGTTACCGTAAACTCTCAATTTGTAACCATGCAGTATCTGTGAGGTACAATGAAGCGAGGCATGCCTGTATTCTCACTCAGCTTTCCTGAATATAGCAGCTGATGAGACTTCAATTGTCTGTGACTCGTCCGCTGGCCATTCCAACTCTCCACTCCTTGTAGGCACCTTCCCTCTCCCCAGTTACCTATAGGAGCCCTGATAGGATTGTGAGATGTATGTTGGGCTCTAATCACAAGATCAGAAGTTCGAATCTACCAGTTGCTCCAAAGAAGAAACATGAAGCTTTCGTGTCTCCTGCATCATTATTTGAGGCATGTTTAAAACAGTCAAAGTCTCAGATTCTTATGCTTTTATTTTCAAAACAGACCAACTCTCTCATAATGATTCCTGATCTTAGCAACAGCAGTTCACAGACCAATAATCACTGGAGCTATTTTTGTCAGCAGCTGGAGAGATTCCATCTTTTCAGCTTGTCTCCTAGAGGATTCATTGCTGAGTCAGAAATGCTCACTGAGAAGGAGCAGTAGTGGCTTTTGAATCAACATGTGTGTTAGAGGAGAACTGTGCTCCACAGCATTTTCTTCAGTGACTGATAGTTCCCAAGTAGCCTGTCTGGCCTTTTTTCTCATATTAAGAAGGCGAAGGTTTCTGTCTCATGAATCAATACTTTGCTTGGAGAGTCTTCACCAGTCTTGGGAAAGAAAGTTCTAGTTTTCAAACCATAGACTCACTTGATGGTTTGTTCTTGATGGTGGGTTGGTGGTCAGTAGCTCACGCTGGGGAAGTGACTGTTTCACCCAAATGAGGCAGTCTTGGTTTTTTTTAAATTCCAAGTGAGCGTATCTGACATACTGCCTTTCCCATCACCCGAGTTAGCATGTGTCTACTTTTCTCTTCCCTCTCTCCCCTCATAACCATCAAAGAATGGTTCTGTTAGTATGAAAACCTATTTTTGACTTTAGAATTGTAGTCTCATACAATATGTGTCCTTTTGTGACTGACTGACTTCACTCAGCCTGATGGTCCCCAGGTTCATCGATGCTATGAGGTGTTCCGCAGAGTCATCGTTCTCCAAAAAACCAGCTGACCCCGAAGACTTTGGTTTACCCTTGTTGTGCCCTCTTTCTGGTCCTCAAAAGCTCCTTGGAAGAATCACATACATTTTCTGTATCTTATAGATCGTTGTTGTTAAGTGCCGTCAAGTCGGTTGCAACTCATAGCTACCCTTGTAGGGTTTGTGAGGAGCAGTTGGTGGGTTTGTATTGGCACCTTCTGGTTCAAACTGACCTCATGATCTAGTACTTATCCTTCTGGATAGATGCTTTCTATATATATCTGTACACACACATACAAAAGAAACACTATTTGATATTGAAAACCGTGTCAATGGGTTTTTAGCTCTGGAATTTTTTTTTACAAGAGGAGTTGTTGTTGTTAAGTGCCGTCGAGCCGGTTCTGACCCATAGCGACCCTGAACAGGGTTTCCGAGGCTGTAAATCTTTACGGGAGCAGAAAGCCTCATCTTTCTCCCGCAGAGTAGCTGATAGTTTCGAACTGCTGACCTTGTGGTTTGCAGCCCGATTTGTAACCACTATGCTACCAGAGATGTCTAACTGTCACAAGCAGATTTGAGGTCCTCAGAGCAGGGACAGATTCTGGAAAGCTGCATGGAATGTTCCCATAGTGTCTCAGCTCCGAAGTCTCATCCCCTATTGGCCTTGTCGTTAATGGGTGTGTGTTGTGGACCCAGAATCGAACAAATTGGCTTGGTCTGTAAGAAGAGCACACAAAGTCTTTATTGGTAACTATAAACTGACCAGGTGCCAATGGCTTGTCCGTCCTCATTGGTAATATACACAAAGCTAAATTATCTACTCACTTCCTTGGGTAAAAATGAAAACCAGATGCTAATCTTAAACTGAAATCATTTTCCTGAACAGGTTATGTGGCTCATGAATTTATTTTGGACACACGACCCTTCAAAAAGTCTGCAAATATTGAAGCTGTGGATGTGGCCAAGAGGCTCCAGGATTATGGTGAGTGACTTCTGAAGGGACCCCTTTTAGGAGGACTTGGGATGTTGGCAGCCAGAGGGTCCTGGGGCTTCATGTAGCTGCCCATGTCTCGTCCTCCGATCCATAACCACAGCCCCAAGAAAGAGGCCAGACATATTGGCACCATAGTAACCTGACTCAAGCATTTCCCTGTACATAAATTTTATTCAAAGGAGCCCTAGTGGTGCAGTGGTTAAGCACTAGGTTGCTAAACAAAAGATTAATGGTTTGAACCCATCAGTAGCTCCTTGGGAGAGTGAGAGGGCAGTCTGCTTCCATAAACAATTATTGTTATTAACAACAGTGGCCCTGTGTAGGGTTTCATAGAAGTGACTGGTGGGTTTGAACCACCAAACTTGCGGTTAGCAGTCCAGTGCTTATCCTGCAACATCACACCAGGACAGCACATTACAGCTTGGGAAACGCTCTGGGGCACTTCTACCCTGGCCTGTGGGGACACTGAGTCAGAATCAACTAAGCAACACATAACAACCAATTGTCTCTAAAAATATGCCCAACCGATTAAATCTAGTTAATGATGTACATGCTGAAGGACTTCTGTTTTTCAAAATCACTTTTTATTGTGAGAGCTTACATAGCAAGTCCAAGCATCTTGTCCATTCAACAATAAGTACCACGTTTGAATTGTGACATTGCTCACAGTTCTCACAACGCAACAGCACTCTTCTCTCTTCCTCTCTGTGCTCCTTTCCCCTTCCTTCTCCTTCCTGGCTCCTCTCTGCCTTCTGAACTTTACCCCGGGCCAATGCTGAGGCTTTGGTCTGCACATGGTTGGCTGTTCTAAAGAGTGAGTCCCCCCATGGTGTTATTGTTCACTTTCTAGGCGACATGTGAAAATTTTTAGAAAAGAAACACCTTCAGCTTGTGTTCACTGTAAAGGCTAAAGGCTTCCTCAGATTGGCCAAGCTTCCAGTGGGTCACCTTTGTTTGCAATGTGAACAAATAAGGATCCTTTCCAGTCTGTTGGCCATCTAGCTGTCTTATACAATTTGTAGCAGAATTGAGTGAGCACCTCCAGTGCTGCATCAGTTTGTTGAAACATTTCAATTTGTATTCCATCAATTCCTGGAGCCTGTGGTTTCCCAATACCTTCAGTGTAGTGTTCATAGATCTTCCTTCAGTGTAGTGTTCATAGATCTTCCTTGAATACTATTGGCTCTTGATCTTGAAATAATGGAACATCAACCACTTCTTTTTGGTACAATGCCTCTGTATATTCCTCCCCTCTTGTAACGTTTCCTACACTATTCAGTATTTTGCTCATAGAAACTTTCAATATTGCAACCCAAGGCTAGAATTTTTCCCTCAGTTTTTTCAATTTGAGAAATTATGAACATGTTCATCCCTTTTGGTTTTCTAACTCTAGGTTTTGCACATTTCCTTATAATACTTTACTTTGTCTTCTCCAGCTGCTCTTTGAAATTTCCTGTTCAGCTCTTTCACTCCCTCATTTCTTCCAGGCATTTTAGCTTCTCTGAATCAAGAGCAAGTTTCAGACTCACTTGTCTGGGCTTTTCTTTCTTTCCTGTCGTTTTAATGACCTTTTTTGCTTTCTTCATGTGTGATGTTTTTGATGTCATGTCGTAACTCTTCTGGTCCTTGGTGTCTAATTTATCAAATCTGTTCATGAGATGGTCTCTAAATTCAGTTGGGATATACTCAAGGTCTTATTTTGGTTCTTATGGAGTTGTTTTAATTTTCTTCAGCTTCAGCCTGAGCTTGCTCATGAGCAGTTACAGACCTTGTTTTCATTGATGCTGTTGAACTTCTCCATCGTCTCTTCCCACAGATGTAGTCTATTTGATCCCTGTGTATTCTGTCTTGTGAGGTGCAGATGTATAGTCATCTTTCATGTTGTTGAAAAAGGTATTTGCAATGAAGAAGTCATTGGTCTTGCAAAATTCTATCATGTGAGCTCCAGTAACATTTCTATCAGCAAGGCATATTTCCCAATCTCTGATCCTTCCTGTTTGTTTCCAACTTTCACCTACCAATCACCAGTAATTGTCAGTGCATCTTGATTACATGTTGATCAATTTCAGGTTGAAGAAGTTGGTGGAATTCGTCCAGTTCATCCTCACTGGCTTTAGTGGTTGATGTGTAAATTTGAATAATAGTGGTATGAACAGGTCTTCCTTTAGGTGTATGGTTATTATCCTATCCTAGACAGTGTTGTACTTCAAGATGGATCTGGAAATGCTCTTTCTGAAGATCAATGTGATGTCATTCCTCTTCAGTTTGTCATTCCCAACATAGTAAACAATATGATTGTCTGATTCAAAATGGCCAATACCAGTCCACTTAAGTCCACTAAGGCCTTGGAGTCCTGATGTGGCCCTGTAGGATAAACACTGGACTATTAACCTCAAGGTCAATGGTTCAAACCCATTAGGTGCTCCTTGGAAACGCTATATAGCACTTAACAACAACAACACCTTGGATTTGGATCTTAAATGGATATGTGTTCCATGTAATTTTTGATGACCTCCAATTTTCTTAGATTCATACTTGGTATATTTCATGTTCCAATTACTACTGGATATTTTCAGTTGTTTCTTCTCATTCTGAGTTGGGCCTCATCAGAAAATGAAGGTCCTGAAAGCTTTACTGCATCCATGGTCAACTCTAATTTGATGAGGCAGCTTCCGGCCTGAGGGCTAATTTCAGGCACTGTATCTGACACTGCTCTGTGGCTATTCATAAGGGTTTCAGTGGCTAGCCATTCAGAACGCGTCCATCTCTCCTTCTTCCTATTTTGTCTTCGTCTGGAACTCCTCCGAAACCTGTATACCTGCTGGTATTTAAAATACCGTTGACATACATTTCAGCATCAAAGCAACACACAGGCAACCACAGTCCAGCAAACTGACTGACGAGTGGTGGTCGCCAAGTATACACACATAAAAATACTATTTTAAAAAAATAAAAATGGGATACTATCATTACGTAGCTTGCTTTTATCACTTAAATGTTTTTAAATGTTTATTCAATTTCACAAATACATGCTTTTGAATGGCAGCATACAGAATTTAATCTTGTTGTTGTTGTTAAGTGCCATTGAGTTGGTTCTGACCCATAGCGACCCTGTATAGGGCTTCTAAGGTATGGCTGGTGACCTTGAACCATCGACCTTGCAGTTCCAACTAATCTTGCAGTCCAGTGCATTAACCCACAGTGCCACACCAGGACTCCAGCATACAGTTTAGGTGTTCTGTAATCTGCTTAACCTATTGTTGAATAGATATTGTTTCCTAAGTTTTTCTTCCATAAACAGTTCTGGAAGCATATATACATTAACAAATATATCTGATGATTTTCTTAGGCTAAATTAGGTGGGGGAAGGGCTTTTCATTCCAGTGTAGTTGGTTCACATTGGTGGTGTGGATTTCCTTCCTCCACGTACAGGATTTCACGCCCCTACCATGTCCTGGCCTGTGGCGGGGACCCTCATGATTGAGCCCACAGAGTCGGAAGACAAAGCAGAGCTGGACCGATTCTGCGACGCCATGATTAGTATTAGGCAAGAAATCGCTGACATCGAGGAGGGCCGCATCGACCCCAGGATCAACCCACTGAAGGTGAGTAGGATTGACCTTCATCCGGAGTGTCCCGTGGGGTAGCACATGGTACATGAGTAGTGTGCCTGCAGTCCCTGAAAACTCTTTGTTGTTGTTGTTTAGTGCTCTGGAGTTGGTTGTAACTCGTAACAATCCTGTGTAGGGTTTCTGAGGCTGTAAATCTTTACAGGAGTAAAAGCCTCGTCTTTCTCCTGCAGACCAACTGGTAGGCTTGAACCACGGACCTTGTGGCTCACAGTCCAGTGCTTACCCTACAGAGCCGCCACACCGCCATTAGAATTCCTATTAAAAGATGATATTCTCTGGTAGCGTAGTGGTTATGAATCGGGCTGCAAACCGCAAGGTCAGCAGTTTGAAACTACCAGCTGTTCTGCGGGAGAAAGATGAGGCTTTCTGCTCCCGTAAAGATTTGCAGCCTTGGAAACCCTGCACAGGGTCACTGTGAGTTGGAACCAACTCCACGGCACACAGCCACCATTCTTGCCCAGAACAAGTCAGTTCTGAGAAGATGTGGCCCATGACTTGGAAGTTTCTATCTTACTGAACATTAACAGCTGGGCACTCAGGTATAATGTAGCTGTTTTCTGATCTGCTTGTGTTTTGCGTGATTTAGGATTTGTCTCTTGGTTATAGGTGCTGTCCACGTCCCATGCCCCAATTTTGTTACTAGAAGAAGAAGAGGTTGAGGGCCTTACTCTAGTTGGGAGAATTTTATGATCCTGTGTCTCTGTTTGATGCAACGTAGTAAAATGATACCGCAAATGTAGTTTATATATTTACCTCATAAACCATGTAAAAAGTAAGGTTCTTATCCTGGAGCTGTGAGGTCCCTCTTAGAACATGGGATTGGTATTTGGCATGAGTGTTTGGCGATGCTTATGACCACGCTGCAGAAATGTTTGTTAGGGTTATCCTATCTCTTCCCAACCCTGGTCATTTTCTGTCTGGTTGGAGCCCCACAACTCTGATTAGATCTAGGCATCCATCTGAGGGGTCGTACCCTAAATCATTATGGCAGCAGATATCCTCAACTATCTCTCAGCAGCTTGTGGGTTTGAACCACTGACCTTGTGGTTAGCAGTCCAGTGCTTAGCCTCCGGGGCTCTTTAAAATGTAATTCAACATGATGTTGAATTACAAAAGCCTGTGGAGAACAATACTTATAGGCGAATATAAAGTTAAAAACCTGCCAAGGTAGTAAATGCTATATGCTATTTACTAATCTATACATGTGGAGTTGATATGTGCCACTGAATTGATTCTGACTTCTGGCAGTACCATGTGACACAGTAGAATTACCCCAGAGTGTCCTAGGCTGTAATCATTATGGGAAATCAGATCTGCAAGTCTCTTCTCCCATGGAGCCACAGGTGGGTTCGAACCATCTACCTCCTGCTTAATCGGTGAGTGCACCTTGATACGTATGTAGACTGTAGAATGCTCTTGATGATGGTGTTTGGGAAGAATACTGAATTCTACCATGGACTTCCAGAAGAATGATCAAATCTGTCTTGGAAGAATACTCCTTAGAAGTGAGGATGGAGACCCTTCGTCTGTCATAGTTCGGAGGGACCAGTCCCTGGAGAAGGATGTCATGCCTGGTAGAGGGTCAGTGACAAAGGGGAAGACCCTCAGAGACCTGGACTGACGAAGTGGCTGCAACACCAGATGCTAACACGGAAACAACTGTGAGGATAGTACAAGGCCTAGCAGTGTTGTGTTTTATGGTACATGGGGCTGCTGTGCGTCACACCAGACAGGACCACGCCTAACAACAACACACACGGGCTACCAAATCATAGGAATGGTAAACAGTCAGTCCAGGATTGTCATTCCCATTGGGAAGAAGGTAGACCCCCAGCTTCAAATGTATCTGTAATATTTTATTATTTTGAAAACATAGAGGACCCAATGTTGAGTCAATTATGCAGGTGGTACATGTGTTTATTATTACCATAACTTTATGATATTTGAAATATATCGCAATTTACCTATTTACCTCATAATTTCCTTCTTTAATCAATACCTCCCTCCAAATCTGAAACAAAACATAAACATTCCTCTTCCCATGGGCTTCCTCAGAAGCTCGTTGGTTGAGGAGGATGGAGGGAGAAGGCCGAGCTCCCCTCTGACCCTCCTCCATCTACGTGTCTCTCTCAGATGTCTCCACACTCCCTGACCTGCGTCACATCCTCCCACTGGGACCGGCCGTATTCCAGAGAAGCGGCGGCATTCCCACTTGTAAGTTTTCCTCAGCAGCTGAGTGTGCCATCTGGTGTGGTTAGTGGTCCTGCGTGTGTGGGGGGCCATCTTGTGCACTGAGGAGTTCCCACTTGCATGGTCTCCTCGTTAGAGCAGCCACATGGGAACAGCCATGGTGGGAAATGTGGAACCAAGGACTTGGCTTCCAGAGTCTCCACCCCAGTCACAAACTGGGGCAGGGTGGGGAATGCCTGGGAGACTGAGGAGGCCCTGTCACATGGGTCACTGTTTCCTGCTGTCTCCAGCTGAGGAGGTGCCTGTTGAGCTAGGAGTAAGGCTGGGGGACAAATGGGGGTTGTTTTGGTAGCAATACAGGGTTGGCCTTTAGCATCTTGAGTCATCGTTGGGCTAATGGTGCTTTAGGTTATGAACACATCCTCACAGCCTCCTCTTCCATCCCAAGAAAAACCTCCATCTTTTGTCCCTCACAGCCCTTCGTGAAACCAGAGAACAAGTTCTGGCCGACCATTGCCAGGATTGACGACATATATGGAGACCAGCACCTGGTGTGCACGTGCCCACCCATGGAGGTTTACGAGTCCCCGTTTTCCGAACAGAAGAGGGCCTCTTCGTAGTTCTCTCTTCCCTCGTTTCAAGTGTCTGGCCTGATGCCTTTCTGGAGCTTTTGATAATTAAGAAGTATTTCATCATCCACCCCAGGCTCAAGTAGGGGGTTTTATATACTATGTATATTTTGGTGATCTCTGCCAAGGTGAATGTCAGTATAGTAGGGACAGTGAGCGGAAGCTGATCTTTCTTCAGTTCCTCTGGGCCCAGATGTTTAAGTTGATGTTCAAGTGGCCTTGATTGGAAGCCATTTAGTTTTTCGCATAGGACATTCTGGGTGTGCTAGAAACTTTAACTTTCAACGTAGAGAGTTTGCTGACGTTGCAGCGGCTTGCCGGTGACTCGATAGACATGTTTTTTGTTCCAAATAAGTCCTTGTGGGCTGAGCCATCTGTGGGAAATCCCAGGGCAAATGTTTACATTTTCTATACACTGAAGACATATTTTTTTTCCTAACTAGTCTAATCTGCAGTAGCATTTCTGGGTGTTTTTCCTCTTTATCTGTGTCTGTTTTTTATCTGCATTTGTTAGTATTCTAATAAAAGCATTTCAGTTTGAAGAACGTCTTCACGTTGGTCCATTTTTCTGTCTTGCCGCCAAATGGCCTTGCAATTTGGTTCCCTGGATTCAGAGTGTGTTGAAGAGGAATGAGAATACTCAATCCAATCGGCATTGTTCCATTATCAGTGTTGCCTTTGACTGGCTAAACAAACAGTTTACATGTCATGGCAGCTCTTTTTGTTAGAATTATACTAGCCTACATATATGGCCAGGAGTCCTGGTGTGGCGCTGTGGGCTAATGCGTCACTGCAAAGGTGTTTGAACTGTAAGGTCAGTGGTTCAAGCTCACCAGCTGCTCCTTGGAAATCCTATACAGAGTCGCTATGGGTTGGAATCGACTCAATGACACTTAACAACAACAACAGCAACATACAGGCAAGACCCAACTAGAGAGGTTTAATCAAATAGCTGTTTGTTTGGTTTGCGTTTTCATTTAACAAGAAGTCCAGACGTAGTAGTAAGCGAAGGACTGGTCTTCCTTCTGACTTTCTATTCTGTCTGTCTTTGCATATGGTTCTTTCTCATCCTCATGGTCTCAAGATGGTGGCTGTAGGTCCAGACATCACATACCCATTCTAGCAGGAGTAAGAGGGGAGAACAAAAGACACATTTCATCCAAGATGACTTCTTTTGACATATTTTCTCATAATTCCCACCCAGCAACTCCTGCTTAATTTCCCCTGACCAGACGGGTTCAAATGGCCACTCCTAGTTATAAGGGGGCATTGAGGAGGTCTTTTAACTTTCTTAGAGTAGCTGCTCAACAAACAAGAAGTATGAGTTGAGCTCCAAGAGAAACATGGAGTCAGAATCTCTCTCGGGATGGAGATGGTCTAGAAGTTGTAGGGTTTGCTGTCAGATCCCTATCCCAACATTTATATTTGGAAAATGAAGTCAGTTTGAGGCAGGGGTGGGGATGGTCTCTGGTGCTTGGAACCTGGCAAGGGTTGCTGGGATACCTTTGACTTAAAGACAATGCTGCCTTGTGGTGACCAGGCTTGGGTAGCTCACCAGACACACCTGCACCTCTCTTCTGTGTTGATCCTCTGGGAAATATCTGTACAGATGAGATGATCTCATGCTCATCTATGTTAAGTCAAAGGTCACTGCCTTCATTCCTTTACAAATCAACTCTTCACGTGCAAGTTGGGACTGTGTACTGTGTACTGCAGAATCTGTGGAGGGCTGAGGAAAAAAAATCAAGTCTGAGTTGTTATTGTTACATTATGCTTTAATATTGCTAATAAAAAGTTTGGGATAGTTCTGAGCATGCCATTCTTCATTTCCTTCAAATGTGCTTCTAAGGATAGAGAGGAAAAAATAATAAAGCCAAGTCAGGAAACTTGGTAGGATTCAGAAGATTTAAACTTCTTGAAAATAACAAAGTCATAAACTCCCAGAAAACAGGGTGTGATGTCGGTCATCTTAAAAAAATGCAGACTTTCCTGCTCTGATGTTGCCCCTGGGCACTTGATCTGGCCACCCGCTGTGGTCTAGAGCAGCCAGAGAGCTCAGTGGAAACAGTCTTCCAGAAAAGTCTGGAAGAAAGGGTGGAGAGGGGGAAAATGATGCTTGCATTTAAGACATTTTATCCACCGTGAACTGCACAGGAATATTAGAATTCCCAAAATGGAAGAACTTGATGTTTTTGGATGAAAAGAAGCTGCTTCAACTGCATTCCAGAAGACAATGTGAGGAAAATAGTTTCCATGGAAGGAGACGGTTGGGTAGGCTGGGAAACAAACTTGCAAATAGCAAAGGCGTGAGTTTATAGGATGTGCTGCCAGCCACGTTGGCAGCCAGATACCTGCATTTTGTCAGCAAGTTGGCAGTGTCTGCCATTCAAAGGGCAGCTGACTGGAAGTCTAACCTACGGAGTCTGAGGCAGGTTTGGGAGGAAACAGAACAAACCGCTCAATACAGTCTTTGAACAGCTTCATTGTTGCCCAGAAATTAGCTGCAGCTAGGAATGAAGCCCTTAGTTTTTAGGGTAAGCAAAGGAGATGAGCCTTGAAGAAATGTGTGCTGAGGCAAAATCGAGGCAGGTTGGACACTAGTTCTCTTTGAACAGTGTCTTCATCTCGTGTTTAAAGGGCAGGAGGATAGAATAGAAATGAAAAGTAAATACCTGTGGAAATCACCAAACTACCACAGTGAGGCAGAGAGTAACACTCAGCATAATGTCTTCTAGATGCATCCATGTTATAAGGTGCATCACAGATTCATCATTATTCTTCAACATTGCATAGTATTCCATAGTGTGTATGTACCAAAATTTGTCCAACCATTCTTCTGTTCATGGCTGTTTAGGCTGTCTCCATCTTTTTGTTGCTGTGAAGAGCGCTGCAGTGAATAGGGCCATACATGTATCTGTTCATTGTACGGCTCTTATTTCTTGAGGATATATACCAAGTAGAGGGATTGTTGGGTCATGTGATACTTCCATTTCCAGGGAAATTCTATTCTTCCTTCTATTTTTAAGGAAGTGCCAGACGATTCTCCACAGTGGTTACAGTCCCACCAACAAGGTAGGAGGGTCCCAGACTCTCCATATCATCACAAGCATTTGTTGTTTTCTGTTTGAACTTTGTTATTAATGCTCCAGTAAGATGATATCTCAGTGGTGGTTTGATTTGCATCTCTCTAGGGGTCCTGGTGTGGTGCCATAGGATAAGCACTTGGCCTCAAGGTCGGTGCTTCACACTCATCAGCCGCACCTTGGAAACCCTGTACAAAGTCACTATGAGTCAGAACCAACTCTACAGCCCTTAACACCACAACAACAGTGGCTAATGATCTTGAGAGCTTCTTCATGTTTGTTGGCCACATGAATGTCTACTTTAGGGAAGTGTCTGTTCATGGCCTCTGCCCATTTTTAAGTTGGATTATTTGTCCTCTTGTTGAGATGTTAAAAGTTTTCTATAAATTTTAGAGGGTAGTTCCTTGTCTGATATGTCATTGCAAAAAAAACTTTCCTAGTCTCTGGGTTCTCCTTTTACTCTTTTGGTGAAAACTTTTTAAATTTTTTTAAAAATTTTAAGTTCAGATGGTAGCTGCATTAGTTTTCTATTGCGGCTGCACAGCAAGCAATTACAAACTTAGTCACGTAAGCAATACTTAACGTAACATTTATCATCTCCCAGTACCTCAGAAGTCTGGGTGGGCTGAGTTAGATTCCTTCCTCTGGGCCTTACTAGGCTGAAATCAAGGTGTCAGTTGAACTACATTCTCAATGGAAGAATCTGCAACTGATGAATAGGATTCCACGCTCATTCAGGTTGTTGGTAGGACCCATTCCCTTGCTGGCTATTCTCAGGGGCTGCTCTTGGCTTCCAGATGACCCTTTCAGGTCCTTTCTACATGGTTGTCTCCATCTTCAAATGACCAGCTCCGGTTGAATCTCACACTACCAGCTGGAGAAAACTGTTGCAGAAGGCATATGAAATAAGGTTAGGTCCTTGGTGATGCACATCAGTGTCTAATTTTTAGGAGGTCCGTCTTCTATTTTGTCTTCTGTTAGTGTGTGCTCAGCAACTTTTGTAGTATATTTATGCCATGTACCAGAGCCCTAAGTT